ACTACACATCCACAGTGCTGGGGTATGTGTGTCTAAATTATCCAGACACGTATAAACTATTTGGTTTTGCTTTATCAATAATACCTCAGGAGAGTGTTTTTGTAAGAAATGAGGTGCTGGGATGCATATTTTGATAAAAGTGCCATGGAAGCCAGCACAAATAGACTACCATGGGCAGCAAAAATGGAAGGAAGGAAGGAAGGAAGGAAGGAAGGAAGGAAGGAAGGAAGGAAGGAGGGAAAGAAAGAGTATCATCACAAAAAGTACTGCTTCTGGGGGAGGATTTGTCTCAACTAGGGAGACTTTTCAGGCCTTTGCAGTGGTTTAAATCAATCAACCTACCATTCACTTCAGTGATTATTTATATTGTTACAGGCCACCCCCAAATTCCAGGGGACTTGGCACTTTGTGTTTTCTTTTTTTAATATTTCATTTTCATTTTTTAAACAATGTTCTTATACATTCACATCATTTTCAATCTACCTAGATCCCTTGGACTTCCCCCCAGCCCAGCCCACCCGGTTTCCAATTTCCCCCTATATATTTTTTTACATCTAATTACATTTTTCTAATCCATTTGATCTCCTTTTTTACCTTGACTCATATTACATTGTAAGGACGCGGGTGGCGCTGTGGGTAAAAGCCTCAGCGCCTAGGACTTGCCGATCGAAAGGTTGGCGGTTCGAATCCCCGTGGCGGGGTGTGCTCCCGCTGCTCGGTCCCAGCGCCTGCCAACCTAGCAGTTCGAAAGCACCCCCGGGTGCAAGTAGATAAATAGGGACCGCTTACCAGTGGGAAGGTAAACGGCATTCCGTGTGCTGCGCTGGCTCGCCAGGTGCAGCTTTGTCACGCTGGCCACGTGACCCGGAAGTGTCTCCGGACAGCGCTGGCCCCCGGCCTCTTGAGTGAGATGGGCGCACAACCCCAGAGTCTGTCAAGACTGGCCCGTATGGGCAGGGGTACCTTTACCATATTACATTATAAGTGTTACAACAATCCTGGTAACGTTTTTAAGTATGCACAGTGGTCTTTCAGATATTCTATAAACTCTTCCCACTCTTGACTGAATTTCTTATCATCTTGGTGTCTGATCCTCAAGGTCATCTTTGTCATTTCGGCATAGTCCAGAATCATGGTTATCCATTCTTCTTCAGTTGGGACTTTCTCTTCCTTCCACTTCTGGGCAAGTAGCATTATTGCGGCTGTTGTTGCATACATAGTCTTTGTAAATCTTTTGGTATTTAATCTCCTGCTAACCCTAGTAAGAAGGCTTCTGGTTTTTGATAAAAGTTATCTTAAACATTTTTTTCCAGTTCATTATATATCATTTCCCAGAAGTCTTTTACTATTTTACATGTCCACCACATGTGGTAAAAAGTACCTTCTTTATCTTTACACTTCCAACATAAGTTGGAGGTGTTTTTATGCATTTTTGCTAAGTTTACTGGAGTCAAATACCAACGGTACATCATTTTCATGTAGTTTTCTTTCAATCAAACTGTAAATTTTAAGTCCTCTTTCCATAACTTCTCCCATAAGTTAAATTGTATATTATAACCCACATTTTTTGCCCCGTCAGGGTTTGTGTTTTCTTGGGGAAAATGAGGCACAGTAGAGACTGGTGTCTTTATGAAATGTGGTTTATTCACACATATTTGCACCTGAGTTAGCCAGGATAGCTCAGTCAGTAGAGCATGAGACTCTTAATCCCAGGGTTGTGGAATCTAACCTTCTACGCCTACAATTCTATGATTCTATGATGTTTGATACAATGTGCTAATAAAATGGGGGAGAACTTCAGACAGAGACAGCCTGTTTCTACAATCCAGAAATAGCAGTCAGATTTTACTTTGATGCAAGAAATTTAGGTGGCATTCCCAAACACAGTCACTCGGGAGTAGGTCCTGTCAAACTCAAATACCTCTTCCAAAGTTAATATTTGCTTTTTGAGGGGGAGGGACCCTGGAGCCAGCAGGGGACAACACCCTACTCCCATCGATGGCTGCAGAGAAGAGATGCTCCTTAGACCTTCAGCAGGGGAGAAAATGATTATTTCACCTTCCACCACTGCTCTGGTCCCCTATTAATTATTGCCCACCCAAAATCAATTTGCATTTTTAAAATATAAATGGCAAAGATGCACTTAATACCACATTGTTAGAAAATTGTAGCATGCACACACATAGCAGACTCACACTACACAGAAAACCAATTATTCACCCTTCAAAATTCAGCAAATATCCCCTGAGAAAAACCGCACTTAATTTTAGTACACAGAACAATCCCAAAAGCCAACCTGGCGCTCCTAATTAATGACTCTAAATATTTCCCCTGCAGAAGGAAATATCTTGGAGAAACCTTTCCCCATAGTTCTTTCACTTACAAATCCTTCAAATCCTGTGACCTGGATTCAAGAAGTGAAGAAGAGTTTGGATTTGATATCCCGCTTTATCACTACCTGAAGGAGTCTCAAAGCGGCTAACATTCTCCTTTCCCTTCCTCCCCCACAACAAACAGTCTGTGAGGTGAGTGGGGCTGAGAGACTTCAAAGAAGTGTGACTGGCCCAAGGTCACCCAGCAGCTGCATGTGGAGGAGCGGAGACGCGAACCCGGTTCACCAGATTATGAGACAACCGCTCTTAACCACTACACCACACTGGCTCTCTGACTGAAGTTATTGACTATCTCAAAAGAAGGGCTAGACTGCCCAGGCGAGGCTGTCAAGTACAGTGGTACCTCGGGTTAAGTACTTAATTTGTTCCAGAGGTCTGTACTTAACCTGAAACTGTTCTTAACCTGAAGCACCACATTAGCTAATGGGGCCTCCTGCTGCCGCCGCGCTGCCGGAGCACAATTTCTGTTCTCATCCTGAAGCAAAGTTCTTAACCTGAAGCACTATTTCTGGGTTAGCAGAGTCTGTAACCTGAAGCGTTATGTAACCCAAGGTACCACTGTAAAACATTATCAGGGATCTTGGGAGATAGGAGAGAAGCAGCACTCTCCAATTTCTGTTGTGGACTGCCTCTTTCTGTGATGTATGGATGATGCTTTTTGGGTAGTTTTTGCCTAAGGGGCCAGGCAATTTTGAAAGTCTTTAAAAGTTATTGCACACTTTTGTCCTGGGTCCTTGCCTCCTTGCAAGGGGAGGGGGGCTCTATTGCAACAGAAAAATAAAGATCTGCCTTATTTTCCCTGGATCCCTGCCGCCACCCATTCTTCTCTGACCGATAATTAACTGGGGGTACACAAACTGAGTCCTTTGATGGGGAGCTGGGCTGCAAAAGCCAAGCCCATTTTGCAGTTTGGCCCTTAGATGCATAGCATAGCTGTCAACTTTCCCCCTTTTTAAAGGGAAATTTCCCTTATTCCGAATAGGATTCCTCGCAAGAAAAGGGAAAAGTTGACAGCTATGAACTTAGATGCGTGCCTTTAGAGAAGAATCTGCCACCCACGCTCGATGTTTTCCTGGAGAGAAGCAGGAACCTACTACGAAGCGTGGAGGGAGTCTGGCGCTATGGAAATCTCCTGCAATTTCTACGGGATCCAGCAAGCTGCAGCCGTGCCTCAGAAAATACTCTCCCCTGATCGAGAAACAACTGGGTTGGGGGCGGAGGACGACAGGAGCCCAGCGCGTCACTTCGGCTCTCTCTCTCTCTCTCCCCTCCGCCACGCTTTTCCTAGTTCCCAAACAACAACAATTACACACCAACATGACAAACGAGAGATCTGTCGATTTAGTGATGGAAAATTGCTGCTTTCTGTGCTGCTTCTGCACACAGAGAGCGCGGAGAGAGCTCTTCCCGCCCGGCTCTTTTCCCGAAGGCGGACATTTGCTTCGACATTGTATTGAACGTGCTGCTTATTGCCTCGCCGTTGAATAACACGCTCCCTCCCTCCCTCCCTCCCTCCTCTCTCCCGCTCCTCCATCTTCCTCCCTCTCCCTCTTCAGGGAGATTAGGCGCCCCTCTCTGCGCTATGAGAAGGCGGGAGACGACGCTCCCCGGAAAGCAACGATCATAAAGGCGTACTGTTGTGCTGTATTGCAATTCTTCACAGTCGCTCCCTTGAAACTGCGCTGTTGGGACTTCGCTCGCCATTGACCAGGATATCCTATGAAATAAACGCCGAAGAAGAATCCAAAATGAAGGAAACGAGGAAAGGAGGAGGAGAGCGCCCATTCTGGACTCTCTCTCAATGACCCGTGTCTTTTAACGCACATATATGCCGTGTTATATGTGCCTGGGAAGCGGATGACACCCCCCCCCTCGGTGCTGACACGTATTATTTCGCAATGCTCACGTTCTCAAAGCAAGTGCTTTGGGATTCGCGACACGTCTAGCCTGCCTTATCTCGGCGCAAATCAACGCCTTAAAAAAAAAAAAGGAATCGCTTGCAGGGTTTCTGCCGTTTTTAACAGGATGCGAAAATTTGTCGAGACCGGTGCAGTTATGGCAGAACTAGTTATGGCAACGATGTTCTCTCATCTGCTCCCCGCTTCCCTCTCAGCAGGATGTGTGTGTGTGTGGGGGGAAACGTGGCGGGTGGGGGGCACGGGTTACAGCACACCCCTACACATGCATAAAAGGCTTTGAAAATGCGCGCACTGGCTTTCGCTTGCGTATCTCTTAATGGATATATATATATCCATAATGTAATATATATATATTACATACTCGGCGTCTATGTATTGATCCGACAGATGTTGCATATTACACCGTATGCACTAACGCTGTGTCGAGACGCCAAGTGTATCGACTGACTGTACTCCTATAGATGGCTGTATAGTGTATAGTGAGTGTATAGTGGCGGGAGAAACCCAGCCAGATGGGCGGGGTAGTAGTAGTAGTAGTAGTAATAATAATAATAATAATAATAATAATAATAATAATAATAATAATAATAGGGGTTTGGCACACAAACGCCCCGAATATAGTACGGTGGTGGCGATGCCTTCCCCGCCACTCCTAGATTATCCATCACCATCTCTTTGTAGCTGAGGGCTTGAGGGAGGGATATATAGCATGGAGGTCTCCGCCTGTGTTTGTGTGTGTTGGGGCAGCGGGAGGCGGCGGCGGCAGGGGCTGGCGACGCGTGTGTAACCGGGCTGGGTGTGTGTGACTTCCTGTGGTATATTTATGGCCAGGGCTTCGATTTCCGGTAGCTGATACGAGCCCTCTCTGCTCGCACGGAGCGTTTAATAATATCGCTGAGGGGGAAGGAGGAGGGAAAGCTTTCTGCACACACATACACATACACACGCGCGCGCGCGCGCGCGCACAGTATGAGGTGAGGAGGAGGAAGACCGAGCGCGGGGATGAAAGACACCTCAGGCACACACACACACACACACACACACACACACAGAGACACACAAAAAACACACAATATATGACGGTCCGGAGCGCAACCGCGCCATTCAATATCACGAATAGAGCACCGGCTCCTCCAGCCCCTCGCGACACGCGCGCCCCGCATTCCTATGGACAGACACGTGCAGGTAGGTGGATAGGAGACCCGCGGCGAGGGGGGGGAGTGTTGGAGTTGGAGAGAGGGGCAAGCAGAAGCGAAATGGCGCGAGTCAGTGGAAGGGGCGCGTATGTTCTATTCTCTCTCGCGCGCGCACATTGCGAAAGGGGGGCTGGCCGCTCCGGAGTACTTTTGACAACTGAGGGGACCTGAGAGGGGGAAAGTCTTCTTCTCGCTCTGGCGTTTTGGCGGGAGGGGGCGGGAAGGCGGCTAGCGTTCAGACGAGAGAGGTGTGTGCGTGTGTGAGAGAGAGATAGGGCAGTTATTGAATGGAGGAAGGAGGCGATATGGGTGAGGAGCGTCTCTCCCCCCCCACCAATAAAACCCCCCAAACAAACAAATAAACACTGTGTCTCTGCTGTGGCCTCTTTGGAAAGCTCGAGCTCTCGACCCCGCACTTAACGAGGGGGCTTGTATTGACCGGCATTTATTGCGCGAGCAAGTTTATTAGAGCATGAAAGGAACGAAGCGTTTGGCTCTCTTTCCTCCTCCTCCTCTAGCGAAGGGGGAAAAGCAGAGGCTTCGAAGACGCGAGTCGAGAGATGGCTGAATTCAGAAGTGGGCACGGAGCGCGCGAGGCCGGACGGGCAGGTGTGTCGCGGGGGTCGTGGGGAAAGCGCGTTTTCTGCGGGGTTGGAGGGAACGGGGCCGCGCGCGTTCGGGGAGGAAGCGTCGCTGTGCGTGGCTGGAGTGGAGTATATGGCGTGGGGTCTTCAGTTATTAGCGGGCGCGTTATCAGCCTGGATAGCGCAGTTGGCTCGAGCAGGGTGCTGGTGACTCCAAGGTCGCAGGTTCGATCCCCGTATGGGACAACTGCGCATTTCTTCGTTGCAGCGGGTTGGACTAGATGATCCTCAGGTTCATGTAACAATCCTATGTTCTATATAGTATTTAGTAAGAAAGCTGGGGCAAGGTGTGGCGGGACAGGAGGATAAAGTGTCTCTCTTTGAGGCAAGCGGCGCCCTGCTATACATGCCTACTCAGAAGTAAGAGCCATCGAGCTCAACCTCTCTTGCACCCAGGTAAGTGGGTGAAGGACTCTTCCCACTCGGAAAGAGCTCACCCCCTTCTTCTGTTTAATACGGATCCGCACTAGCACACGAGAATCGTTATGCCTGGTCCTGGAATTTCGTCGTGCAGAAATCAGCCTTTCTTTACTTTGACCTAAAAAGACGAAAAGGAGAAGCAGAAAGGAGGGGTGGGGGGCAAGAAGAGCTACAAGGAAAAGCTTTCTGCTTTGTTAAGTGGGCGGGGGGGGGGAATACTTCATTTCTCAATAGAGTCTCTAGTTGGTTGGAAGTTTTCTCTCTCGCGCGCGCTTCTCTTGCCGGGTGTCGCACGTTTGCTTGCGGCTTGTTCCCTAACAGTAGAAAGGCTGTAGAAAGGTGTCCCTCTTTGATTTTGGTAGCAAATGCATCCATTACAGTCCTCTAAAGCACAATTCTATAAACACATTGAACTCCCTGAAGCTTACTTCTGAGTGGGCATATACAGAATTACAGCGTTCATGGCAGAAGTCAAAGCCAGGCACTGCTAGCAGAACTAAAGGCTTAGAGTCCTAGCAAGAAGTTCAAGGGAGAAAATGCTTTCCTTCTCTCTCTCTCTCTCTCTGCTTCACATTTACTTTCCCTGCAACAGAAGGAGAGCATGGAGAAGTATTAGCACCCTTCTCTCAGTAATTCTAAATTCCAGTTAGTTTTTCATCCCAAATTAAGGTGATATTCAAGTGACAAATGCCGAAACCTCTGTTAACAGAGGCCCTGATGTTATCTCCTAGGATGCTTTCACTATTTTCTCACTCTCTTTATACATGGGCTTAGCCAAGGGGGGGGGGGCAGAGAGGGGCAGCTCCCCCATCAATAAAAATACATAGCTAACTGAGGTTCTGCCCCCCCAAACATCCATGTTGTCTTATCAACGTTTGCAGAACATTATATGTTGCATCCAGAGCATTCACTGAGCGTTCACCCTTAGTGTTTGCAGGGGCAAAAGTGGTTGTTAATTGAGCATGCATTCTGCTTTGTTTTGTGGGGAGGTTAGAGAATGTTGCCTCAATCAAGTGTTATACCACACTTTCCAATGCATTTCCCTGTCACTTTCCTTGTTGCAAGAAGTTGGACCATTTGGGGAAGTGATTTGTTGTGCAAGACCTCCAAATCAACTTTAGCTGCAAAGCCTGATAAATGTTTTCTGATAAATTATTGAACCCCACCTGAAAATTGCAATGGTCCGGAAGTGCCCTCAGTCTGAAAAGTGATATTTGGTAAATGTGTATGTAGTATATTCTCATATCTTTCTATGAAAGCTGATTAGCAAAATTTCACCTTCCCCCAAGATCCACATATTTTAGTCACCTTCGCTAACTCTGAAGTCATCTCTCTTTTGCCCAGAGTTTCTGGACCAGAGTTTATGGTGAAATGGGCTCTTGTCCACAAAGTTTATGCCACAATAAATCTGTCTTTCTCCTTCATGGATCACTGCCTTGCCATGGCGAAGGGGCTTGAATAACTCAGAGAAGCTATGAGCTATGCCGTGCAGGGCCACCCAAGATGGACAGGTCATAGTGGAGAGTTTTGACCAAATGTGATCCACCTGGAGCAGGAACTGGCAAGCCACTCCAGTATCCCTGCCAAGAAAACTCCATGGACAAAGACAACAGGCATATAAAAGTTATGACGCTGGAAGATGAGCCCCTCAGGTCGGAAGGTGTCCAACATGCTACTGGGGAAGAGCAGAGGACAAGTACAAGTAGATCCAGAGCTGATGAAGCGGCTGGGCCAAAGCCGAAAGGACGCTCAGTTGCGGATATGCATGGAAGCGAAAGGAAAGTCCAATGCTGTAAAGAAAAATATTGCATAGGAACCTGGAATGTAAGAACCATGAACCTTGGTAAGTTGGATGTGGTCAAAAATGAGATGGCAAGAATAAATATTGACATCCTGGGCATCAGTGAACTAAAATGGACGGGAATGGGTGAATTCAGTTCGGATGACTATCATATCTACTACTGTGGGCAAGAAACCCGTAAAAGAAATGGAGTGGCCCTCATAGTCAACAAAAGAGTGGTGAAAGCTGTACTGGGATGCAATCTCAAAAATGATAGAATGATCTCGATACGAATCCAAGGCAGACCTTTTAACATCACAGTAATCCAAGTTTATGCACCAACTACTGGTGCTGAAGAAACTGAAATTGACCAATTCTATGAAGACTTACAAGACCTTATAGAAGTGACACCAAAGAAGGATGTTCTGCTCATAATAGGGGATTGGAATGCTAAAGTAGGGAGTCAAGAGATAAAAGGAACAACTGGCAAGTTTGGCCTTGGAGTTCAAAACGAAGCAGGGCAAAGGCTAATAGAGTTCTGTCAAGAGAACAAGCTGGTCATCACAAACACTCTTTTCCAACAACACAAGAGACGACTCTACACATGGACATCACCAGATGGGCAGCATCGAAATCAGATTGATTATATTCTCTGCAGCCAAAGATGGAGAAGCTCTATACAGTCAGCAAAAACAAGACCTGGAGCTGACTGTGGCTCAGATCATCAGCTTCTTATAGCAAAATTCAAGCTTAAACTGAAGAAAGTAGGAAAAACCACTGGGCCGGTAAGATACAATCTAAGTCAAATCCCTTATGAATACACAGTGGAAGTGAGGAACAGGTTTAAGGATTTAGATTTGGTGGACAGAGTGCCTGAAGAACTATGGATGGAGGCTCGTAACATTATACAAGAGGCAGCAACTAAAACCATCCCAATGAAAAGGAAATGCAAGAAAGCAAAGTGGCTGTCCAACGAGGCCTTACAAATAGCGGGGGAGAGAAGGCAAGCAAAATGCGAGGGAGATAGTGAAAGATACAGGAAATTGAATGCAGATTTCCAAAAAATAGCAAGGAGAGACAAGAAGGCCTTCTTAAACGAGCAATGCAAAGAAATAGAGGAAAACAATAGAATGGGAAAAACCAGAGATCTGTTCAAGAAAATTGGAGATATGAAAGGAACATTTTGTACAAAGATTTCCATAATAAAAGACAAAAGTGGAAAGGACCTAACAGAAGCAGAAGACATCAAGAAGAGGTGGCAAGAATACACAGAGGAACTATACCAGAAAGAAATTGATGTCTTGTATACCCCAGGTAGTGTGGTTGCTGACCTTGAGCCAGACATCCTGGAAAGTGAAGTCAAATGGGCCTTAGAAAGCATCGCTAATAACAAGGCCAGTGGAAGTGATGATATTCCAGCTGAATTATTTAAAATTTTAAAAGATGATGCTGTTAAGGTGCTACACTCAATATGCCAGCAAATTTGGAAAACTCAGCAGTGGCCAGAGGATTGGAGAAGATCAGTCTACATCCCAATCCCAAAGAAGGGAAGTGCCAAAGAATGCTCCAACTACCGCACAATTGCACTCATTTCACACGCTAGCAAGGTTATGCTTAAAATTCTACAAGGCAGGCTTAAGCAGTATGTGGACCGAGAACTCCCAGAAGTGCAAGCTGGATTTAGAAGAGGCAGAGGAACCAGAGACCAAATTGCAAACATGCGCTGGATTATGGAGAAAGCTAGAGAGTTCCAGAAAGACATCTACTTCTGCTTCATTGACTATGCAAAAGCCTTTGACTGTGTCGACCACAGCAAACTATGGCAAGTTCTTAAAGAAATGGGAGTGCCTGATCACCTCATCTGTCTCCTGAGAAATCTCTATGTGGGACAAGAAGCTACAGTTAGAACTGGATATGGAACAACTGATTGGTTCAAAATTGGGAAAGGAGTACGACAAGGCTGTATATTGTCCCCCTGCTTATTTAACTTATATGCAGAATTCATCATGCGAAAGGCTGGGCTGGATGAATCCCAAGCCGGAATTAAGATTGCCGGAAGAAATATCAACAACCTCAGATATGCAGATGACACAACCTTGATGGCAGAAAGTGAGGAGGAATTAAAGAACCTTTTAATGAGGGTGA